GCCTACCACCGCTTGCTTACGCTGTAGAGGATGGATGGATGCAGGTTCGTGTGGGACGAGGGCAAGTACCCCGTCAACGCCCCGCTCAAGGAGACCGTCGCCAGCATCCAGTCCCAGGTCGCCAAGATCGAGGACGACATGAAGGTAACTAACTCTGCTTCTCTCTCTCTCACTTCTTTGGTCCAGTTCCTTTCCACACTGACCAAATTACGCATGGATGACAGTAAGATTTTGGAACATTGGCAGCAACTTAACACTGCATTAGCTACGCTAGCTGGGTACTGTATTTTGGACAGTGTTGCTTAACAGTTACATTCCGTCCTCAGCGCTAAATTGGTAGATTTGGATGTAGCTCACTTCCTGTTTTGTCTTGGGTCTGTTTGGTTCCGGCTAGCTACCTATTTGTGCAGCTAGTTACATCAGTATTTATTTAGTCTTCTGTCCCTTTTTCTGGCACTGAATTGCCACATAATGTTCATGATGCAAAAAACTAGGGAATTGGTGCCACATTTTGTCAGTAATGAAAGGAATAAATTGAAGTAATTATAACTGAAATACTACATCGATCTTTCCTGTCATTAGTCTCCACCCCTCATCACAAGTGCTGTCTTGGTTTTATACAGACCTTCGTTTTATTTTGTGCTCATAGATGCAAATAAGTGTTCTGGTTGTATGTTACATTTACAGAAGGACTGAATATGCCCCTTTACAGGTTAGAGTTGCTGAATACGGTAATGTTAAGAGCCAGCTTGGTGCAATCAACAGGAAGCAAACTGGAAGGTAAATCCTCTCACCATACTTTGTGACTAGCTCTAGAGGGAGGGACATGCTTGGTACCTGGTATTATGCTACGTTGTTGCTTGCCTTGAGTCCTACTCTGAGTGATTGCTTCTTCTTGTATGGCAGTTTAGCAGTTCGTGACCTTTCCAACCTCATAAAGCCAGAGGATATGGTCACTTCGGAACATCTAGTGACACTCCTTTCTATTGTGCCAAAGTATTCCCAAAAAGACTGGTTATCGAGCTACGAGTCACTTGATACATTTGTGGTAAGTTCAGAAGCCTTTGAATACTGATAATGTCTCTTATAAATCATCGTTTGAACTATTTTCATGCCATGGTTCATTTCAGCAATTGTATATTTTATTTGTGGATGCTCAATTAAAACCAAGAGTGTTTATTTGGTTCACCATTTCTGGCGTTAATGCTATCATGAGAACTCTCCATCACAGAAATCTATCAAATTCCAGATACATTTGACTTGCAACATGTTTATCCGGATGCTATTTACTTTGCCCTTATGAGGAGCTTTCAAGTTGTCCTAATTTGTGACTGTGTTCAGTTGATTCTTTCCTTTGAGCTAATTATTGTTTATATAGGTTCCAAGGTCGTCAAAAAAGCTTTACGAGGATAATGAGTATGCTCTCTACACTGTAACATTATTTGCCAAGGTTGTTGACAACTTTAAGGTCCATGCTCGTGAGAAAGGTTTCCAGGTAACTTTGTTGCCCTGATCCTTCCTTTTAAACCATTGCTTGCATTTAACCTTAATTTGGCATGGTGGCAATACTCCATGTAGCCTTTGGTATAACTCCTGATAGCTGGCCTGAAATTAATCTTGTCAGTTGGTATCTATCACTCTCTCATAACTGTTTTGTCATCCACTAACTTCTATTTCACACTTGATTTCAGATCCGTGATTTTGAGTATAGTCCTGAAGCACAGGAGAGTCGGAAGCAAGAGCTAGAAAAGCTGCTGCAAGACCAGGAAGTTATGAGGACTTCTCTATTGCAATGGTGCTATGCAAGCTACAGTGAGGTACATGTCTTTAGTTCATTTGATTGCACCGATGTTCTTCATCAAACCACATGACCTTAGTTCATTTCATTTGCAAAAGATACTGTAGAAATAAGTCATTCAAATATTTCATTTGATTGCACCGATGTTCTTCATCAAAACTCACCCATTTTGAACTACTCTCCAGCTCTCGGTTGGATCCTATTGTAATTTCCTCATCTATTTACTCTGTTATCCTCCACAACCCTTTGAAATTTTTTCTAGTTAAACTGCAAGCCTGAACAGTAATGTTTTGAATTTGTTCACTGGTTAATTGGTTATTTGATAGCCTACCCCAACTTGTTTGGGACCAAAGGCTTTGTTGTTGTTGTTGTTGTTAATTGGTTATTTGATTTTCTTCAGTGGTAGTCTGAAGATCAGATCATGGTGTGATCAAATCATGCTTAATCTGAATTTCATTATTTTTTGTTAAAACTATAAATAAGGACAATAGTTGAGTTGTGACTTAATGGCATACTGGAATCTGGGGCATACTGTTATTTTCTCACCGGTGCATCCTTGTTTAGGGCGAAATCATATGGTGGTCAACTCATTAAACAGATTGGGATGCATCCCCTTTGTTTTCTGATCCGTGATTGTTAGTTTAAAGCTACAAATGATGGCTGCTATTCATTTGATTAAGCTCTGCAGAACTTTAACATTTGCCCATTCTCAAAAAATCGTAGTAGTAGGCAAAACTGTGCTGTTTTTTGTCTCTGTATGGCAGTGCTACTCCTAATGGTCATCATGGCAGAAGTTAACTGATGAGTCTATAACTATAGTAGATATAATGCTATCACATGATTGTTGATAGTTATTTCAGAAAAATGCCTAGAATATTGGGCTTTAGTTGCTTGGTTGCTAGGCAATCATGGTTTGCTAGGTTTATTTGCCTCTGTATCAACAAATATCAGTTCTCACGGTTCCTGTACTATATTTCTAGGTATTTAGCTCCTGGATGCATTTCTCTGCTGTTCGTGTCTTCGTAGAGAGTATTCTGAGATATGGTCTGCCTGCACGGTTCCTGGTAAATTTCCCTGGCTGTTATTTGACAGCCAGCTTTATACTTTCACATCTGATCTGTAACTAGTTTATACAAGACAACTGCGCTGTTCATGGTAATTTACCTTACTGTTCTATGATAGCCAGTCTAACACTGTCATGTCTGATCCCTGTTGTGTTTGCATCAGTCTGTTGTCCTAGCACCATCTACAAAGAGCGAGAAGAAAGTAAGGAACATCTTGGAAGGGCTATGCGGCAATGCTAACAGGTAAATTACATGCCTAGGCTGCAGTCTGTTGGCCTTGTTACTCGCAGCCTTCTCTTTGTCTTTCGCTAACCGAACCTTCAAATTGCAGCAGCTACTGGAGATCCGAAGACGACGTGGGCATGGCTGCTGGCCTGGGAGGCGAGGCAGAGTCCCACCCTTACGTCTCCTTCACCATAAACTTTGTCTGAGGGTGTTTGATGTATATTATTTTGTGACATCAATTCTTTCATGGTATGTCGGTTTCGGTTCATACTTCTGTAGTAGATGATCCGCGCCGATCAATAATGTAGTCTTTCAGAGAACCTTGAACGTATCCTGGCACAAAGTGGGACTTCTCTTTTTTTGTTCTGCTATGCTGTTGCAACTGTTTACTTCTTGTGTAGTGTTGTATTACTGGGTACATTATTGTAATTTTGAGTAACCAGAATCTATAATAATAAAATCAAGGTGAATAAGCTGGGTAATATAAACATATGTTGTTCACTGGTGTGAATTTGTTTGACAAGTAGATGACCTCTTTGCCCCCTTGTTGGTTGTAATATGTATTGGTCAGCCAAAAAATCAAATACACAAATACCCTCAGATAGGGATGGTAATGGGTACCCGTTTCCCGCGTACCCTATGGGTAAAAACCCTATTAGGGTAAGGGTATGGGACAAAAAATTACCCATGGGTACTTAAATGGGAAAATATCACACCCATGGGGTAGAGAGGGTACGGGTATGGGATCGTATAACCCATGCCCGCATACCCATGTACCCATCTAAAATGTTGACAGGTGGGTTTCCGTTAATATCCCAATGTATTCATTTCCCTTCCTAATCACTCTAATGTGTATTCAAATGATCTCTATAATTTATCATGATTTCGTGAACTTAAAGTGTATGCATATGTGTTGTTATTTATGGTTATGTGTTCTTGTTTAACATTTTTATATGTCACTTTATAGGCAAGTATTTTTGTTTATGAGAATATGTTGTTGTTACAATATGTTGTTGTACATTGTTGTTTAAAATGTGTTGCTATTAATAATTTATGATTATATGTTTCTTTTTACAACTATTTTCTACTAAATTGATGTGTTGTAAAAGTGGGTATTTTTACCCGTGGGTACCCATATACCCTGTCGGGTGACGGGTATGGGAAAAAATTGTACCCTTGACGGGTATGGGTATGGGTGATGGGTAAACTCAGGGCGGACGGGTAAGGGTATGGGGTAGCTCCACCCGTACCCATATCCTGCGGGTGCCATCCCTTGAAATACATACTTCCAAATTGAAACGTTCAATAGGAGATTGTATTGAAGAAAGTGTTCTCTTCATTACTATCTTGCCTGTTGCCTCTGAAATAGTTGATAACTGTTTTGCCTCTTATCATTGACGATCACCAATACAGAGTGACATTTAGAAAACATTCATACAAGTTTTGTTTTCACTAAATTCTACTCCCTCCATAAAGAAATATAGGAGCGTTATATTTCAATGATCTAAACCCTTTTATATTTCTTAACAAAGGGAGTATCTAACAAGAAGTTGCTCATGCATGGAAATACATTTCGCTGAAAGGTAAGAAAAACGTACTTCAGCAAAATCAGTCCATACAACTTATGATCCAAAATAACCATCTAAGCAAGCAATGGGACCTTGCACATTACGTGGCATAAGAAATCCAAGTAGTTCTGAATAATATTACACCATTAATGGGTATGACATAGCAGAATACATCTATTTTATGAGACAAAACCGTGTGGCACGCACAACACCACCAACGGTGCGAAGATACAATACAATACATCAATAAGTTCTAAATGGCGACATGTTTGACAATACAATATAGCAATAAGTTTTCCAGGCTCCTTAATCTTGTAGCGGTATCTTTGGTAGTTCTTGCTTAATTCACACCCGTGGTCCGAACCATTTTTGCCAAGTAACAACAGAGATGACATACAACCTGTCATATAGCTTGTCGAGTAGCCCGAAATAAGCATACCTCCATCTCTTCATGAAGAGAAGTCCACAAAACACCATCCAAGAGCCCGCCACAAAACCAATAATTGATCCAAGAAGAAAATCCATTTGAGACAAGCCATCTTCAGGCAACCTTGTTGGATCTCTGTTGGTTGGCGGACCAGGACATTGCATTGGAACTGGATGTCCACAAAGAGCAGGATTACCAATGTACATAGAAGCTGGGTCATCTGTGTTGAGGGTGTCTAGTTGATGCCCTGAGGGTATCCTTCCAGACAGATTATTGTATGACAAGTTTAAATAGCTCAGGTATGTCAAATCCGATAAGCCCCGAGGAATTTCACCACCAAGTTTGTTCTTTGACAGGTCAAGAGACTCCAACGATCGAAGGTTCCCAATCTTATATGGGATATTTCCACTCAACAAGTTCGATGATAAATTCAAACTTATGAGAGCAGCAAGGGAGCTTAGTTCCTCTGGGATTTCTCCAGTCAAACTGTTGCAAGATAAATCAATGCTCATCAAATATACAATATTCTCCCCATACTCAAGCACTTGCCCTTTCATCACCATCGAGATGCTATCATTATAATGCAGTTCCATATCCACGAATGAGTATTTTTCTTCGTATACTTCTTTGAAAGGATCATCAAATACTGTATTACTAGCAATTACAGTGCCAGTCAAAGCTTTCAAATTTTTTAGATACTGCAGTATGGTCCCAGAAAAGTTATTATTGGATAGATCCAGAATACGAATAGCATGGAGTTCCATCATTTCCATTGGAATGTGACCATACAAATTGTTCGATCTTAACCGTAACATAACCAAACCAGGCATTGCTTTACTAATCCATCCAGGTAACTCTCCAGTGAATCTGTTTTGAGCAAGATCGAGGTAAATAAGACTTGGACATTGTCGTAGGAACAAAGGAAATCCACTTGAAAAGCTATTGTTGCTTAGAAGAAGAGTAGTGATTTTCAAACTGAAAGAACTCACTGAATTGACTCTTGAAAAATTGTTGCTAGATGGGTTCCGTTGTTTCAGTTCCTTTCGGCCACAATTAGGAAGTTCCACTGAAAACAGATTGTTCGAAAGATCTAAGACCCGCAATTGTCGCAGTCGACAAATTGACGTTGGAATAGTCCCGGTTATAGAATTGGAGAACAGAATTGCAACCTCCAAATGCGGAGCTTGGAAATTTGGCACAAACCCATTTAAAGAGTTATGGGATATGTCCAATACCTCAGTTGTTTTTGGTAACTTGGGTATCAAACCAGTGAGTAGATTTGATTGCATTGATAGAGTGATCACTGACATGAACTCCAGATTGAGTGGTAACTCACCGCTAAGCTGGTTCAAGGAGATGTCAAAATATCTAGTTTCAGAAAAGGTAGTCCAAAACCAATCTGGGATCTTACCAACTAGACTTGTGTTTGAAATATCAAGGTCGTTGATGCTCCCTTGCAGTTGAAGCCATTTTGGAAATTGGGGTCCCAGATGACAAGAGGAAAATGATGCCCGATGCAAGTTGAACGGAGGCACCCAATGCGAGTCAATATTGAGTTCCAAATTATTATCAGATAAGTCAAGGGACTTTAAATTCATCAAACCAACAAAATGATCTTCTGATATCACACCATTCAAGTTGTTGTATCCAAGGTATAAGTCAGTCAAATTTGTAAGCGCGCCAATCTCCACGGGCACTGAACCGCTCAATTGGTTGTCACTGACATCAAGCATGGTTAAGCTAGTTAGGTTTGACACAAATTGTAATGTCGCGCCAGTGATGTCGGCATAGTCCAAACTCGGCTCTTGCAGTTTATTCCAAGAACAGTTGGGTATCCTATGTATCACCTTTGTTATGTCCGCACCGATGATGTTGAAGTTGAGATTTAGAGACCTCAGATTACACATAGCTTGCGTTGTTGCTGGTATCATCCCCCGGATGTTGTTATTTCCTATGTTAAATGTCTCTAACAAGGTCAAGTTACCCAACTCGTTAGGAAGCGGGCCTGATAATTCACCATGCTCTAGGTTAAGGCTCTTGAGGCTGGTTACATCCCAGAACCAATAGGATGCCGCCGAACCTTTGAAATGGTTATAAGAGAGGTCGAGCTCCTCAAGAAGCGTAAAATTGTGGCCTACAAGTGACGATGGAGCATTATTGTCCTCAAGCCAACAGGCATCAAGAATGAGTGCAACCAAATTGGGAAGTGCGCTGACCGCATGAACCCAGTCACGGACTCGAGTGAGGTCGATGGAGCCCATGTCAAGATGTTGTAGCGATTGGAGGCGCGCTAACCAAGATATATCATCTGAGTAGAGACGACCAGTGTTGATGTAGCCATGTATATCGAGTTGCACCAGTTTGGAGAGGTTGCCAAGCTGAGGTGGCACTCTACCATGAAAACCCATGTTTGAGAGGTTGAGATACGTCAAACCCTGAAGAGAGCCCAGGAATTCTGGCATAGGTTTTGCATCTCCTAGGACAATATTCCCACTCAGATCTAGATGCTTAAGACGTCGGAGAGCAAGCAGCGAAGAAGATACCTGTCCTCGAATCGAGTAGTCTTCAGGGTAAGATAGATAATCATATACTGGGATTGGATAATCGTAGCGGAGGTCGAGCTTGACGACACGGCCTGTCCGGCGGCTGCAGGTGACGCCGCTCCACCCGCAGCAGTCGTGCGCACCTTGCTGCCATGAGACGAGGCGATCGTCCGGGTCGCCTGTGATGCCGGCCTTGAAGGAGAGCAGCGCGGCCCTCTCGGCCGGGACGCAGCTCCCGTTGGATCTTTCGGTGGCGCTGTGGACGGAGGAGGCTATAGCTAAGATGATGATGATTAGGAAGAGCAACTTGTTGGCTGCAGCCATGGCGTTGGCCTGGGCTAATGGAGTCTTGTGCTGGTGTGTCATGTGTGTTTGCTAGATGCATTTGCTCTATGTTATGAACGCGTGTGCCACCTTTTCAAAAAGAAAAGAAAAAAGTAGACCTTTGCCGTCGCATCCTTTTTGACCAGGGCAAGACTTTGAATCATACTCCATGGTGATTGCCTACTAACCCCAATGGAATTTGTCGCAGTGTTTGAAATATGCAACAGAGTACAACGCGTTACGCGTGGACATTCTCTGGAACGACAGGTGTCCAGGAACATAAGAAGAAAAAACAACGGCACTGCAAGCAAGGTTGTCATAATCGAGATTCTCGTGTACAATTCTACGGCTTTACGATCCAAACTAACCCCTTTGATTCTACAATTTGGTTCGTAGAATCTACGCTTCTATGATCCTGATCATGAAGATTCTATGATTTACGATCCTACAATTGAAGCTCCGATCCAATTCATAATCGCAATTCTAACAACCTTGACTGCAAGCAATGCTGAGATGGGGCTGGAACTCCGGCATCATCATTGTTGGAAGCGCCGTCGCCCAAAGACCCTAATCTACACCTATCTCAAATTAGTTCTCTAAAAAAATGTGTTCACACAGTTTTTTTTGGTGTAATTGCTTTTACTATACTACTAGCATGCAATAGACAGGGGCGACACGAGCGGACGCCAATTCACCGCCACCAACCCCTCGCCGCTGCCGGAGGATGCGGCCGGGCTAAGCCCACGCGCGGACGGCAGGGGCGTGGCTTCCTCTCCTCGCGGTGGCGCGGGCTCTGTCAGGCTCTGAACTGGCATCTTCAGTTAAAGCTCTGCGGAATTTTAACATGTGCCCATTCTCATAAAATTGTAGTAATAAGCAAAACGGACCGGCTTGTCTATTGATGGAACACTACTGTGATGTTATTTGTCTGTGTATGGCAGTGCTACTCCTAGTGGTCATCATGGCAGAACTTAACTCATGAGAGTGTACATGTAGAATATTGGGCTTTAGTTGCTTGGTTGCTGGGCAATCATGGTTTTGCTAAGTTTATTTGCTTCTTTATCAATAAATATCTGTTCTAACGGTTCCTGTATTATATTTCTAGGTATTTAGCTCCTGGATGCATTTCTCTGCTGTTCGTGTCTTCGTAGAGAGTATTCTGAGATATGGTCTGCCTGTACGGTTCCTGGTAAATTTCCCTGGCTGTTATTTGATAGCCAGCTTTATCTTTCACATCTGATCTGTAACTAGTTTTTACAACAGACAACTGCGCTGTTCATGGTAATTTACCTTGCTGTTCTATGATAGTCAGTCTTAACACGGTCATCTCTGATCCCCGTTGTGTTTGTATCAGTCTGTTGTCCTAGCACCATCTACAAAGAGCGAGAAGAAAGTAAGAAGCATCTTGAAAGGGCTATGCGGCAATGCCAACAGGTAAATTCCATGCCTGGCCTGCAGTCCATTGGCGGTTGCTACTCGCAGCCTGCTCATGTCTTTGGCTAACAGAAACTTCGAATTACAGCAGCTACTGGAGATCCGAAGACGACGTGGGCATGGCTGCTGGCCTGGGAGGCGAGACAGAGTCCCACCCTTATGTCTCCTTCACCATAAACTTCGTCTGAGCTGAGGGTGTTTGATGTACTCCCTCCGTCCCAAAATTCTTGTCTTCGATATGTCTAGATATGGATGTATCTAATACTAAAACGTGATTTGATGCATCCGTATTTAGATAAATCTGAGACAAGAATTTTGGGACGGAGGGAGTATATTATTTTGTGACACCAATTCTTTCGTGGTATGTCGGTTTCGGTTTATACTTCTGTAGTAGATGATCCACGTCGATAAATAATAGTGTTTCGGAGAACCCTTGAACGTATCCTGGCACAAAGTGGGACTTCTCTTTTTTTTTTGTTCTGCTACACTATTGCAACTGTTTACTTTTTGTGCAGTGTTGTATTACTGGGTACATTATTGTAATTTTGAGTAACCAGAATCTATAATAATAAAATCAAGGTGAATAAGCTGGGTAATATAAACAGTTATGTTGTTCATTGGTGTGAATTTGTTTGACAAGTAGACGACCTCTTTGTCCCCTTGTTGATTGTAATCTGTATTGGTCAGCCAAAAAATCAAATACACAAATTTGCATACTTACAAATCGAAAAGTTCAATATGCTGGGAGCAGAGATTGTATTGAAGGAAGTGTTCTCTTCATTACTTGCCTTTGAAATACTCCATCTGGATCTAAATATAAGACTTTTTAGAGATTCCAATGCGGACTACACGAAGTAAAATCGATGAATTCGTATGTATCACGTATTGAAATCTCTAAAAGGTCTTATATTTTGAAACGGAGGGAGTAGTTGATAGTTGTTTTGCCTCTCATCAATACGTGACAACATTGATGATCACCAATACAAAGTGACATTTAGTAAACATTAATACAAAGTTTTGTTTTCACTAAATTCTACTCCCTTGGTACCAAAATGTAAGATCATTTTTGACACGATGATTGTCAAAAATTGTCTATATTTTGGAACGGAGGGAGTATCTAACAAGAAGTTGATCATACATGGAAATACATTTCGCTGAAAGGTACTAAAAACGTACTTCAGCAAAATCAGTCCATACATCTTATGATCCAAAACAACCATCTAAGCAAGCAAGGGGACGTTGCACATTACGTGGCATAAGAAATCCAAATAGTTTCAAATAATATTACACAATTAATGGGTATGCCATAGCAGGATACTTTTATTTTATGAGACGAAACTGTGTGGCATGCGCTATCACCGGTGGTACAAAGATACAATACGAATATACAATACATCAATAAGTTCTGAATGGTAAAGTGTTTGACAATACAATATAGCAATAAGTTTTCCAGGCCCCTTAATCTTGTAGCGGTATCTTTGGTAGTTCTTGCTTAATTCACACCCGTGGTCCGAACCAATTTTGCCAAGTAACAACAGAGATGACATACAACCTGTCATATAGCTTGTCGAGTAGCCCGAAATAAGCATACCTCCATCTCTTCATGAAGAGAAGTCCAAAAAACACCATCCAGGTGGCCGCCACAAAGCCAATAATTGATCCAAGAAGAAAATCTATTTGAGACAAGCCATCTTCAGGCAACCTTGTTGGTTCTCCGTTGGTTGGCGGATCTCTAGGCGGACCAGGACATTGCCTTAGAACTGGATGTCCACAAAGACCAGGATTACCAATGTACATATAGGCTGCATCATCTGTACCGAGGATGTCGAGTTGATTCCCTGAGGGTATCCTTCCTGATAGATTGTTGTACGACAAGTTCAGACGGCTCAGGTATGTCAAATTTGATAAGCTCCAGGGAATTTGCCCACCAAGTATGTTCTTTGACAGGTCAAGAGACTCCAACAATCGAAGGTTGCCAATCTTATATGGGATATTTCCACTCAACATGTTTGATGATAAATTCAAATTTATGAGACCAGCAAGGGCGCTTAGTTTCACTGGGATTTCTCCGGTCAAACTGTTGCAAGATAAATCAATGCTCATCAAATATAGAGCATTCTCTGTGTATTCAAGCACTTGCCCTTTTATCACCACTGACAAGCTATCATTAGACATTCCCATATCAGCCAAACCATACTTGTCACTGTAGTCTTCAGCGAAAGGATCATCTACTGGTGTATAATCATCTGTAGCAGCAGTGCCAATCAAAGCTTTCAAGTTTTCCATATACGGTGGTATGGCCCCGGAAAAGTTATTATTAGATAGATCTAGAATACAAACATCCTGAAGTCCCATTATTTCATTTGGGATTTGACCAAAAAAGTTGTTTGATCTTAATCGTAGGATAACCAAACCAGGCATGGATTTACTAATCCATCTAGGTAACTCTCCAGTGAATTTGTTTTGACTTAGATCGAGGAAACTAAGATTCTGACATTGTTGTAGGAACAAAGGAAATCCACCTGAAAAACTGTTGTTGCTTAGAAGAAGAGTGGTGATTTTCAAGCTGAAAAAACTTAATGAATTGACTCCTGTAGAGTTGTTGCTAGATTGGTTCTGTGGTTTCAACTCTTTTTGGCCACAATCAGGAAGTTCTTTTGAAAGCATATTGTTCGAAAGATCCAAGACCCGCAGTTTTTGCAGTCGACAAATTGACGTTGGAATAGTCCCGGTTATAGAATTGGAAAACAGAACTGCAACCTCCAAATGTGGAGCTTGGAAATTTGGCACAAACCCATCTAAAGAGTTTCTTGATATGTCCAATAACTCAATTGTTCTTGGTAACTTGGGTATCAAACCAGTCAGTTGATTTGACTGCATTGAAAGCGCAACCACCGACATGAAGTCCAGATTGAATGGTAACTCACCGCTAAGTTGGTTTGAGGATAAGTCCAAATGCGTAGCTTGAGAAAAGGTTTCCCAAAACCAATCTGGGATCCTACTAACTAGACCCGTGTTTGACATTTCAAGTTCACGGATGCTCTTTTGCCATCGAAACCATGTAGGAAACTGGGGACCCAAATTACAAGATGAAAGCCATGCTGTATCCAAGTTGAACGGAGGCACCCAATGCGAGTCCATAATGAGTTCCACCTTATTATTAAGTAAGTAGATGAACTTTAAATTCACCAAACCAGCAAAATGACCTTATGATATCACACCACTCAAGTTGTTGTTTTGAAGAACTAATGTAGTCAGCTTTGTAAGCACACCAATCTCTACGGGCAGTGAACCACTCAAATTGCTGTTTCCAAGGTCTAAGTAAGTCAAACTTTTAAGTGCACCAATCTCCACAGGCAATGGACTGCTCAAATTGTTGTTTCCGAGGTCTAAGTAAGTCAAATTTGTAAGCATGCTAATATCCACAAGAATTGAGCCACTCAACTGATTCCAATTGACATCAAGCATGTTTAAGCTAGTAAGGGTTGACACAAATGGTAAAGCCGTGCCAATGAGGTTGGCACCGACCAAACTCAGCTCTTGCAAATTATTCCAAGAACAATTGGGTAACCTGTCAATCACCTCTGTTATGTCCCCGCTGATGTTGTTGTTGCTGAAATCTAGAGACCTTAAATTACACATATTTTTTAGTGTTCCTGGTATCATCCCCTTTATGTTGTTTCCTTCAATGCTGAAGGTCTCTAACAAGGTCAAGTTTCCCAACTCTTCAGGAAACACGCCTGTTAATTCACAACCATCTAAGTGTAGGCTCTTGAGGCTAGTTACATTCCAGAACCAATTGGGTGCAGCTGAGCTGTTTAAAGGGTTGTATGAGAGGTCAAGCTCCTCAAGAACCGTAAGGTTGTGGTGTTGAAGTGATGTTGGAGTATTACTCTTATTAAGACCACATGAAGACAGAATCATTACAGCCAAACTGGGAATGGTGTTGACTGTATGCAACCAGTAAGCAACTCCACTGAGGTCGACGGAGCCCATGTTAAGATGTTGTAGCGATTGAAGACGCGACAACCAAGATATATCCTTTGAGTATAGAAGACTATTGTATAGCTCGGTGTACATGAAGTAGTTCTGTATGTCAAGTTGTACCAATTTGGAGAGATTGCCTAGCTGAGGAGGCACTCTACCCCGAAAATGCATGTTGGAGAGGTTGAGATAAGTCAAACTCTGGAGAGAGCCCAAGAATCCCGGCATAGCCATTGCACTTCCGAGAAGAATATTCCCGCTCAAATCTAGATGCTTGAGATGTTGGAGAGCAAGCAGCTGTTAGCAAATAAACTAGCGTGACAGGTTCAGGTTCAGGTTAGACGTAGTGTTAGGATTCAGTTTCGTCAGTCTGCAGTTTTTTTTCGGTATTCAGTTTCAGTCAAGCCTGAGGACGCGGTATGTGCGATCCCGAGGCCGTAGCTCGCGGCGAGCGCGCACCCCTGATCGTGGGATGGCACGATCCAGTAGAGGGGGTCGTCCTCGATCCGTTTTTCCAGTTCATCAGTGAATAAAAGAGAGCAGAAAACGCAGCAGAAGTTAAGCGCTGCACAAAAACACCTTGTCTCTGTTTCTCCTTGTCTGTCTTCAGAGAGTGAGAGTTCGAGAGATTGAGAGGTAGGAGGTGCTCCGGCGAGCATCTCCGGCCCGGGGCAGGAGCAGGGCACGCCGTACCGGCGAGATGGTGGTGCACCAGCAGGTGATCCGGGAGACGAGCTCCGCCGGAGTCTACCCCACGCTGACGCGCACCAACTATGCAGAATGGGCTCTGCTCATGAAGGTAAACCTGCAGGCCGAGGGCTGGTGGGCCGCCGTTGAAACCGGCGACGCACCCTTCCGTGACGAGCGCAAGGCCATGGCCGCGATCTTGCGTGCTCTCCCGCCCGACATGGTGAGTCCGATCGGCGCCAAGACCACCGCCAAGGAGGCATGGGATGCGATCGCATCTCAGCGCATGGGTGCCTCCCGCGTGCGTGAGGCCAACGCACAGCGGCTTCGACGCGAGTTCAAGAGCATCTCGTTTCGCTCTGGGGAGACGATCGATGACTTCTCGATGCGCATCTCCACCCTCGCGGCAAACCTGCGCTCCCTCGGCGACACCGTTCAGGAGTCCAGCGTCGTCGCCAAGTTCCTGCATGTTGTTCCTCAACAGTACGCGCAGGTTGCCATCGCGATCGAGACCCTTCTCGATGTGAGCACCCTGTCTTTGGACGAGGTCACCGGGCGCCTTCGCGTCGTGCAAGATCGGATCATCGACAATGCCGCCGAGTCACAGTCTGGCGGCCGCCTGCTTCTCACCGAGGAGTGGGACATAAAAAAGCGCTCGCCTCAAGGGGACGGTGGATCGTCCTCCGGCGGTGGGCGAGGAAACCCCCGGCGAGGCCGTGGGCGCGGCCGCGGCGGACGTCGTGGCGGCGGCCGCGGTGGCCCGCAGGGCGGACGCGGCACCGGCTACGTCGACAAGAGCGGCGGAGACAAAGACACATGCCGCTTCTGCGGCATCCAAGGGCACTGGGCCCGTGACTGCAGGAAGAAGAAGCGCGAGGAGGCTCACCTCGTGCAGGCTGACGAGGAAGCGGACCCGGCGTTCCTCTTGATGGAGATGGTGTAGATCACCACGACGGGGGCCTCTGCGGTCACGGCAGAGGTTCTCACCACGGGGGAGGCAAACGCTCCACTCCCCGTCTTCCACAACGAGCAGCAAGCGGAGGTCGTTCCCGGCGCCGTCAATGCGCCGCCGGGAGACCATCTGGTTCTTGGACACGGGCGCCTCGAACCACATGACCGGGGACCGCAGCGTTTTTGCCGAGCTGGACGAGAGCATCACTGGCACCGTGTGGTTCGGCGACGGCTTGGTGGTGCAGATCCGAGGACGCGGGACGGTCGCGTTCAGGGTGGACGGCGGAGTGCAGCGCGCCCTCACCGATGTCTACTTCATCCCACGCTTGAAGAGCAGCGTGGTGAGCCTGGGGCAGCTGGACGAGCTCGGCTGCGACATCCGTCTCCGTGGCGGGAACCTGACGATCTTCGATCCACACCAAAAGCTCCTGGTAAAGGTACACCGCGCATCAAATCGCTTGTACAAATTGGATATGACTCCAGTGCCTCGCGCATGTCTGTTGATGCGCCACGACGGCGAGGCCTGGAAGTGGCATCGCCGCCTCGGTCACTTGAACTTTGAGGCGATCCAACGGATGGCGCGCGGCGGACTGGTCCGCGGCCTACCGCTCGTCGAGCACACCGGCGAGCTCTGCGAGGCGTGCCTCGCCGGGAAGCAGAGGCGCGCCCCTTTCCCCAGAAGGCCAAGTACAGAGCTGAGAGGCAGCTTGAACTCGTGCATGGCGACCTGTGCGGTCCCATCACGCCGGCGACACCCAGCGGTCGGAGTTACTTCCTCCTGCTGGTCGACGATTGCAGCCGTTACATGTGGCTGGTCCTCCTCAGCTCGAAGGATGAAGCAACGGCTGCTTTGAAGCGCTTCCAGGCTGTCGCCGAGGCGGAGGCAGGCCGCAAGCTGCGCACGCTGCGCACCGATCGCGGCGGCGAGTTCACGTCCAACGCGCTCGCCGCACACTTCGCCGACCACGGCGTTCAGCGCCACCTGACGGCGCGCTACACGCCTCAACAGAATGGTGTGGTAGAGCGCCGCAATCAGACGGTGGTTGAGATGGCTCGGAGCATGATGAATGCCAAGAACATGCCGGCGTTTTTCTGGGGGGAGGCGGTGACCACGGCGGTGTTCGTACTGAACGCAGCTTCACTCGCAGCGTCGACGGCAAGACCCAATTTGAGGTTTGGTTTGGTAGGAAGCCTGATGTGCATTTTCTTCGTGTGTTCGGATGCATTGCTCATGTGAAAACAGCACGGCCACATCTGAAGAAACTTGAGGACCGAAGCACTCCTATGGTGTTCATCGGGTATGAACAAGGCAGCAAGGCCTTTCGGGTCTATGACCCTGTGTCGAGGAGCGTCCACGTGAGCCGCGACATCGTCTTCGACGAAGAGGCGAGCTGGGATTGGAGCAAGGAGGCTGCAGCTGCGTTCGGCCGGCTCTTTTGTCGTGCAGTACCCAGTGTACGAGGGGGCCGGAGACAGCACTGAAACAACAGCAAAGCCGGCGGGAACAGACATTGACGCGCCAAGCGCTTCGAGCAAGCGAGCCGCGTCCCCTGGATCGGCTGTCACGGCCACGACGGGTGCATCTGGAGGAAGCCCAAGGACGCCTTCTCCGGTCGCCATGGTGGACAGCACTGGCAGGACTCTAGCCCCCCCCGAGCGGTGGCCCGGCGTTCGTGTCACCGCCGCTGCAGCCCCCTGACCTCTTCGACAATGATGACAATCCTGACGCCCCGCACCGCTACCGCATGATGGACGAGATCCTTGGTACGCGCGAGGGCGTGCCACTGCAGCCTGACGAGGACATCGAGGAGGAGGTGCTGCACCTCATGGCAGGCGAGGAGCCCGGAAACTTTGACGAGGTGGCACCACACGAGCAGTGGCGGCGGGCCATGATGGACGAGCTCCAGGCGATCCACGACAACAACACCTGGACGCTCGTAGATCTTCCTCCAGGAGAGAAACCCATTGGTCTGAAATGGATGTTTAAGCTGAAGAAGGACGCCGCCGGCACCATCGTCAAGCACAAGGCCAGATTGGTGGCGAAGGGGTATGTCCAGCGGCCTGGCATGGACTTCGAGGAAGTTTTCGCACCGGTGGCGCGCCTGGAGTCAGTCCGTGTGCTCTTGGCCATTGCCGCGCACCGGGGATGGGAAGTTCACCATATGGACGTGAAATCGGCATTTTTGAACGGCACACTTGAGGAGGTGGTGTACGGGGCGCAGCCCCCTGGTTTTGCACGGCGGGGCGAGGAGGAGAAGGTGTACAGGCTAGAGAAGGCGCTCTATGGTCTCCCGCAAGCACCGCGTGCATGGAACTCCAAGATGGACAGCAGCCTTGCATCGCTCGGCTTCACTCGCAGCAGGACTGAGCACGCCGTGTACACACGCGGCACTGGAGCATCTCAGCTACTCGTCGACGTCTATGTGGATGATTTGATCATCACCGGAGCGGACCTACAGGAACTGCGCTGTTTCAAGGAAGAGATGAAGCAGCTATTCGACATGAGTGACCTCGGGCTGTTGAGGTACTACCTCGGCCTCGAGGTGCACCAGAGCGCGGTCGGCATCACCATCAATCAGGCGTCATACACGGAGAAGCTGCTGGACAAGGCGGGCATGGCCGGCTGCAATACGAGTCATGTGCCACTCGAACCAAACTGCAAGCTGAGCAAGGCGAGCTCAGCGCCACTCGCGGATGCAACACTCTACAGGAGCATCATCGGCAGCCTCAGGTACTTGGTACACACACGCCCCGACATAACCTATGCAGTTGGCCTGGCCAGTCGGTTCATGGAGGCGCCGACCTCAGAGCATTTCGCCGCCGTGAAGCACATCCTCCGGTACATCGCTGGGACACTCACCGTCGGCTGCACCTATCGCCGCGGTGATCGCCTAGAGCTCGAGGGATACAGCGACTCCGACATGGCCGGCGATCTGGACGACAGGAAGAGCACATCTCGAGCGATTTTCTTCCTCGGTGGCAGTCCAATCAGCTGGCAATCACAGAAGCAAAGGGTGGTGGCGCTCTCCTCTTGCGAGGCAGAGTACATCGCTGGATCAACCGCGGCCTGCCAAGGGATTTGGCTGACGCGCATGCTTGCAGAGCTGCTGAACAAAGGTACGAAGGCAGTTAAGATCTTCATTGATAACAAGTCAGCTATCTCGCTTGGGAAGAATCCTGTTCTGCACGACAGGAGCAAATACCACTTCATTCGAGATCACATCGAGAAGGGGACTGTGGTGGCCGAGTTCATCCGCTCCGGTGATCAGAAGGCTAACATATTGACCAAGGCTCTTGGGCGG